GTCATACGCACTGTTGTACACGGTAGAAATTATTCAATTCTTTGCGGCTTAGTGAGATTTTGATTGAAACAAAGCGCGACACATAATCAAAACTGACATGATAGGGATACCACAATTTCAATTACAACCCAGATTCAAGTAGGGGGATTTCACACAAGTGTTCGCGGTGTGAGTGAGTGCCAGTGCTTAAATTTCAATTATCGCATGTACGGCGAGATAGACAGACTGCGAATCTGACTGGAGAGAGTGAGAGGGAAGCGGTCGTATCAACACGGTTTAGGAGGCCCCAGACGCAAATTGAATCAAAGTACTTGGCTTTCGCTATGGCAGATATGTGGACATTGTACCTCCATAATTATATGCACATACGTGTGTCTGTTGATGTAGGTAGGCAACCAAATGAATATTCATGCGCCCAATTAGATTATTGTCGACTCAATGAGGGAAAATAACAGACCAAACTAATTTTCCCTTATCCAGATGCAACCTTTTCATGAATCAAACATGGAATTCAAAATGGCTGTGGTAGTTATTAAATGTTTTTGAAACCTATTGTTATTTTCAAAAAATTTATACAGTTTATAATCCAATTAAATGATGTAAATCTCCTTTCACAGGCTAAAAGTCATTTTAATAATTTAATTTGAATTTTTGTAGACTTATTAAACTATCTAGGATTGGCATGGTCATAAATTCATAATAAAATTAATCCCATTTGTTGCATTTTGTACTCCAAAATTAATTATTATCTTTCTTCACCTGTTCCTTTTAGCACCGCACTGAGATCTATGAGAACACTAGCATTAGCCCAGCACGTAAGTTGTTGTATCCCCAACAAAAACTTATTGCGAAACTCAATCCTATATTTGCTTTCATAGAACCCATGGAAAACTGGGAGTTCAAGTCTGCTCAACGCGAGGGCTCCAATGTCTTGGGCCTTGTGATGTTCAGTGTGATCCTTGGAACCACCATTGGAAGGATGCGTGAGAAGGGACAGCTGCTGCAGGATTTCTTCACCACTCTGAGCGAGGCAATGATGACCATCACCTCTTGGGTTATCTGGTAAGTGAAGGTTTATTTTAAAAAAAAAGGTCAATATCTTGAGAACAATTTTATTAGGATTTCCCCTCTGGGCGTGGCCTTCCTGATAGCCGCTAAGATCATTGAGATGGACTCCATAGCGGCGACAATTCAATCGTTGGGATGGTATTTCATAACGGTCATGATAGGACTTTTCCTGCATGGTTTCGGTAAGTAATCAGAAAATTAAGTAAGAGCGATTTAGCCGAGTGGTTTGATTCACGATTTTGACGAATATTAATTAGCTATACAATTTGGGAGCTGTGATCGTAATACCTAAACAAAAGACTTAAGTAGCTGAGGAATTTTTCCATTTGCAGCAGGGTGACAAGTTGTAACCAAAGATGATTCGTATTTAGTGCTTTTCAATATGTTCAAATATGTTCTTTATATACATCAGTTTGAAATTGTTTTATACTATTTTCTGCATTCCGAAGATAACCTCCCAAAATGCTCTTTTTATCATATCTTATTATTCTCTTTTTAGGCACCATTGCTGTGATCTTCTTCTTGGGCACACGACGTCTTCCGTACCGCTACATTGCCAAACTTAGCCAGGTTTTGGCCACGGCTTTCGGAACAGGTTCCAGTTCGGCCACCATGCCACTGACCATCAAGTGCCTGGACAACATGGGCATCGATCCCCGTGTCACCCGCTTCGTCATCCCTGTGGGCGCCACCATAAACATGGACGGAACGGCCCTCTACGAGGCTGTGGCTGCCCTGTTCATTGCCCAGTACCGTGAGATGAGCTACTCCTTCGGCACCATCGTGGCCGTCAGCATAACGGCCACGGCAGCCTCGATCGGAGCAGCAGGAATCCCGCAGGCCGGACTCGTCACCATGGTCATGGTGCTGGACACTGTGGGCTTGGAGCCGAAGGATGTGTCCCTCATCATTGCCGTCGATTGGCTACTGTAAGTCTGCATATATAAATACAAAATATGTTATTTATAACTCCACGATTGATGGGTTTTCAGGGATCGCTTCCGCACCACCATCAATGTGATGTGTGATGCCCTGGGCACTATTTTGGTTAATCATCTGTCGAAGAACGATCTGGCCAGCGTGGATAGGGTAAGTAAGAGCCCCTTGGACTTTACTCTTTCTATATCCCATAGGGAGTTGATTCCCTTACTTTTTGTTTAAATTGTTCTATAACTTCCTTTCTTTTTGTCACCCAGCTGAATGCCGAGCCCCATGAGCTCCTCGAGCTGGGACCCAATGGCCACGAGATGAAGGAATGAAGGCAGTCTTCGCTTGGCGCCTATAACCGCAAGCGATGAGTGGACATGTCCCGGCTGTGGGCCTGTTTCCACATCCTCCCCAGCAACGATAGCGATAGCGATGACTACGACGACGACGACGAGGAGTTTTAAGATGCGTCGAAGGATAGGATCGGATCGAGGCTGGGGCGGAGTCATCATGTTTGTTTGCGGATTATTTAGGGTGACCAAGTCGCATCTAATTTCCAGATTGATCAATTTGAAGCAGCTCCTCCGGCAGAGGCTAGAGTTCTGCCAGAGTACAAGTACTAAGCCAGCAACGAATTTAAGTGACACATTCGTTTGTTTTTCCCAAAATTAATGATCAAAGAAAGCGAGAACAGAAATAAGATTTAAGATGAAAACAAAACAACATTTATCGTCTAAATTAGAGATACTTTCAAGGTGTAAATAATTTTTAAATATAATTATATTAAATTGAGTTCAAATTTGCATTACATTCTCCCATATGATTAGTATTAACAGCAAATCGAATCGAAGAGTTAAAATTAGTTCAATTCCAAGCAAACAATCCCAACTCCAAGCAATTGCATTTGATTAGGTCGCCAATTGTTGAGATTCGTATCTAGTATTTGTTATACATTATTCTACAACTTTTTGACATGGCAAAGCCAAACAAAACAACATAAAAAGACAAATTTAAAATAGAAAAAAGATTAATTAACACCCTAAAAAATAAAATACAATTCAATCGAATCAGAATTTCAAATGCCGTTACAAGTTCGTGTTCATAGTTGAGCTTTGTAAATACTTAATAGCTTAAGTATACATACATAAAACTTTATGGAAATATTTATATATTTAAAGCGTGGAAACCGAATTCTTGAATGACAATAATAGAGTGCTACAATCAGACATACAGTCAATTTATACAAGTAACAAATTATTTATTACATATTATTAAAATAAACATAAATTAGGTCACACCATTGCAAAAATCCACGAGAAAACGATAAGTACACAATAAAATCAGTAAAACAAATAAAATATTTAAATGTTTGCCATGCTTTCAGCCAAAAAGGAGAATTATTTAGGTTCCGAATCATCGAAATGTTTGTAGTTGTGCGTAGTCTAAATATATGTTTACTAATAAAACTTTATGAATATTAAACGAACTTATTTGGTGTTCTTATTGAAGGTATATTAAACCAAATTTTAACTATTTCGAGAACACACATTTTGATACCTATTAGAGATCTTATTATTTTTTGCTGATATAAATTTGAACAGTTTTCGCTGGTTTAAAGGGCATTGTACGATGGTTAAATAAACAAGTTCAAGCTCTGTCAAGCATCAAAATCTTTTCAATAAAGCTTTTCCTAGCTTACTCTGGCTTCAGCATAGGTGGCGCTTTTCGTAAATAAAATTAAGGCAAGAATAAAAGTATTAATTTGCCGAGTTTTGTGGGGACTTACCAGAAAGAAACAAACTTTAAAACAAACTTAAATAATAATAACTTAAATAATCTATATCTGTTTATGTATTTAGTTTGGTCGATTTTTTTGATTTAATCAAACTATTTATTGAAATAAGAGAAACGTCATATTTTTTTTTTTTTTTTTTTTTTTAGTTTATTGAACACGCCACACAAGGATGGACCTTGTTTTCGTGTATTGACTAATTATTTCTAAAGATCCCAAAAAAAAGCGGGTAATGGGTGCTCCATTCTTGAGCAAATCAGGTGTGGTCATAGCCGGTCAAAAGTTAATCAAGATGTGTTATTACAGAAGGCGACCGTGTCTGTCACGGCCGAGAATCCATAAGTCTGCCGGGTGTCGTCTGCGGAGACGCCGTCGACCCAGTGGTGTTGCAAGATGTCTTGCCAGACAGTTTGCATGTGTGAGCAAACGTTCCCGGTATCGACTTGAGGATTTGCAAATCGTTTCTGTTACCGTCGGCACTCCCGTGTCCTGGAACATAACTCGGTTTTCTACATAATGGTGCCACTTCACCCCTAGCGAACGTCATATTGAGACTTTTTGGTCAATCTGGTTTTTGGGTTTGACTGATTTTGCACAAAAAATTGTGTTATCTTCCGAAGATTTTATTCAGAGGTAATAGTTTTTGTTAGTTTAGAAATGTAAAAATAAGTTTCAGATTTAAAATAGGAAGTATCCTTTTTTTGGAAAACACTAAAGTTGAACAACGGTCAGCTTCACTTTCTCTTTAAAGTTTTCCCCCCTTTGATCTATTTATGGTCCCATCTGCGAGTACTTTTGTTTCTTTACCATTCTGAAACCCTTCTCCAAAAAGTAACTGCCCCTAAAAAAAAAAGAAACAAAAGGCCATAACAAAAAACAAAGCACCCGAAATATAAAATTGGGACCATCGAAAGGGGACACAATCCCAGCTGAGCAGGAAATGCAGGCTGGTTTTCCATACAAAAAAATATAATAAAACTAAATTAAATAAAATATAAACAAAGCACAAGTATATTTTGATGACTTTTTAACATTTCCTTTTCTCAACTGCACTTGCTACCTGCGTTGGCGGAGCGCATAAAGATTTATTGTCTTTTGCATAAGAAATATGCTTTATGTTATGTTTTTACACTCCTCCCACTTTATGCACTCTACACTTTATAAAACAGAATTCACAATTTCATTTTATTGACAGCAGAAAACATTTGAAAAACCAAAATTTTGGGAGAAAGCCTTTAATATTTAAATTTTGCAAGATACGCCCAAAATTCTCCGTGAGTTTATGGTCCAAACTATGCCCCAAGGCAGCAGCTAAGCCACTGTGGACTATCGTCAGCCATGCTTGAGAATGCTGTCATTAAGGAGCGACCCATCTATCAGGATGTCCAGCGGCTCACGGACGCCCAGCTGTCCACCATGTGCCAGAATCACCAGATCTTCCTGGGTCCGATAACGTCCGCCAATCGGCGTTTCGCGGAGCGCCATCTCCACGTAGCGATGATCGAGGCACGGGCCAAGTACCGGGCCCACCAGCAGTTCGCCGAGGAGTGCACCCTGCGGATCTCCAGCAGTTTCCAGCCAGTTCCTCCTCCCCAGCAGCACTATGGTATGATGAACGCCGTCCACCCACGACCGACTGTAGTCCCGCAGAATTACTGGCCATCTCCCGGTTCCTTCAAGATGCGTGGCCCACCGCCGCCCACCAGATTCTTCCAAAATCCTAAGGAACGACCGGATCCGGTTCTCGAGCCACGTCAGTACGTCGCTTGGCGGCAGCAGAACAAGTTGCGCAACCAAACGGCAACTGATTTTGGAACCAAAATCCTCGGCTTCAAGATGCCCTTCTCCCTGGATGCTGCCAGGGATCTAAGCTCGAGGATAAGCAGCACCATTAAGCGATTTCAGGGCGGAGGTGAGGAATTCCAGCAGGAATCTGCCAAGCCAGAGCAGGATAAAAACGAGATGGCCGACCATCAAGAGAAGTACGAACAAAGATTGCAAGTCAAGTGTCATAATAAATATCACGATAGGTACCAAGATGCAAATCAGGCGAAATATCGAAATGCATATCAAGAGGATTATCAAGGGGAGTACGAAGAGCAGTCCGAAACAGAAAGTGAAAAGGAAGGGTCCCCAAAGGACCTTGAACATCCTTACGACGTGGATATGGAACGCGACACACTCTCCGATGATTCAGAGGACGATGGGGAGCAGCAGGAGAATGAGAAACAGACCAACCCCCGTTCCTTTTCCCATGACCTTCTGGAACTGAAGAATCTGTTCAACGGGGCGGATGCGGAACCTCAGAGCGAACTGGGCGACTACAAGAGTTTCATCAGCCTGGCCAGCGTTTACCACGAGTTCACCAACCCAGAGCCAATGGAGCGAAAAGAGAAATCTGTGGACAAGGAGCCCCTTTTCCGCTGGTGGTGGCTGCGGAGGGCGTCGGCGGGGGACGAGCGGATTCCCGAGGAGGAGCGCACCACCGAACAGGATCTGATGCAGGAGCGCGAGCTGAAGACCATCAACTACCTCAGCGAGGCTCATTCGCGGGTGGACGATGGGATGCTGGAGCTGATGGGCAGGGTGGAACTGCGCGACGACAGCGATGAGGAGGGGGCGGTGGAGGGCGGACCGAGATCCCGATCCTGTGCTGGTTTCTGCCGCCACATCTTCCACCTGCTCTGCTGCGATCGTCATGGAAAACTCGATGCGGACAAGCTACGCTGCAGCTTTTTCTGCTGCTGCATGGCCTTCGGCATTTACGTCGCCTTCAAAATGATGCGGTAGTTGCACAAATGCGGCTTAAACTGGGGCCAGTTAGTCACTATATTTGATATGTCCATATTGTCCATAGGAAAATTATGCTTATCTCAGTTGAGAAAAGGATGCGCGTTGAATTTCAAGTTGTGTATCACAGACTTTTGTAATCAGCTTTCTTTGTTTTCTTACGTTGAGATACGCACTGTGTGTTCATAATATAAATAATGTGCAATAAACGGACTAAGTAGAGTTTATTCGATAAATATTATGTATTTGTTGTATGGGATATTTAATTTCCTTTCGATCCATTCAATGATTCAATATTTCTTCCATATTCTAAGTTCACTGCCCTAGTCAATAACTAGGACATGTTGTGACGTAGAACTACATCTATAGTTCCATTTGTAAGCAGATGGCCCTTTCTAAAGAACGAGAAAATACGTGTCCTTGTGCGCCACGTGTTTTCATCTAAGCCAAGTCGTCGTTCCCAATTCCCATTTTCAAGTTACAACGGAAATGAAACTGTAATTATATTTATGACAGCCTCAGTCGTATTTAAGAGCCAAGCTGTTCCTTGAAGAAGACCTCCCAAATAGGAATGAATAAAATTAAGCTCTTTAATATGCTGTCCTTCCACTTTCTATTAAAAAACAAATGTGTTAAATACACGAGTGTTTGCTAGGCAAAGCACTCCGAAAATAAAGTTTATAGCATGCTTTTTAATGCAAGAAGAAAATAAAAAACGATGTAATCTTCTAAAAACCAATTTGTTAAAGTTATTTTAAATTGAGAAATTATTTTAATATATAAAAAAAAGTTTCGTACTTTTTGGGTACCGAAAGTATAGTGATTTTCTAATGTAAATGTAAAGCAATTTGTTCAGCCCAGTTGCAGGTGAGGAAATCTCATTGCTTTTGCAGCGAGGCGCAAACTTAATGACTTTCGGCCATTTGCCAGGCTGAAATCTCCTTTCTAGACCCCGTTCCCGTTGCAGTTTCCGTTTAAGCCAGCTCCGGGATGCCATTTGCTGGCGGAGAGTGGCTATAAATCTTCTTAAATGTCGCAAATCAACACAGCAGGTCACCTTTATCTAGCCCAATCTCAGTGCCAACTGCAATATCTAATTTACACAGGTAAATGCTGACGGTCATCCCCCTCTAATTCTGCCCTAATTCTGCCCTAATTCTTGTCCTTCTTCTGGAACGTGATTCAGTGTAAATGTCAAGCCTACACAGAAGAATATTTCACTTAATTATAACCTCATTGAAATGTTTTTTATTTTTTGGGAAGATTTATTTTCGAAATTAATTCGCCATAAATAAATAAGGGACATAAACCACAAACCGAGACACTCATCTTTGGCGCTCAACTAAGCAAACCAAATGTAATCAATGCAATTGGCGTGACCGAAAACTCAAGCGAGGGAAAGACATAAATAAAAGTTTGGCCATAAAACCACAAAGAGACATAAAATGGGCATAACAAATTTAAATGGCATAAACAATTGGCAACAAAGTAACCTCCCCAAACAGCCCCACCCGCTCTTCAAACCGAACTATAGTACAAATCGCACGGTTTTTGACTCCGTCCTACTTGCAGACTCGCATCGAGTATAAGTCAGCAGCTATAAAAACGGGACAGGACTCGATTATATTGGCAGGTTGGGGCACACAAATTGAGACACTCGGTGGATTGGGCCGCACTCTCAGTTTGTCTTTATGCCAATTCAATTTACCGGCAAATCGGGCCACTGCAGAGCCCCAGCTTTGGTCGAAACCCCAAAATTGGAGCCTGGGACACCGTTGGAAATAAACATAAAACGCAAAACGAAATGCGGCCATTTAATTTATATTCTGCCAGCATTAAATGGCATTTTAATTTCTATGGAAGTCGTAAAAAGTCCTGAAAAGTATTTTCACTCTCCCTCTTTTCATATTTATGTCTATAAATTTCTTTTGCACTTTTCCATTTCTCAATTGCGTGCAAAAGATTTTTACATTTAATTCAATTTGGCATCTAATGGATGGGGCGGCCGGTTGTGGGTGGTTCCCCTAAGGGAATGGCTGAGATGGCTGCTTACCAACTGGGCGTGGTCATGCCTGTTTTGTAGTCGTTGCGTGAAATATGGTCCTGACTACTTAGCTGTCTCATCTCCCCAAAAATTGAAATCCTGTGGACGCCCAGGCTAAATTACCGTTACAAATTTGAGCTACTTTGATGGCAACCACCGCATACTTCGTCCTTCCGAGGAGTCAAGGATTCATGCTTTAGGTTCCCAGCTCCCGAATGCCCGGCAATGTCATACAAAATTTATTCGCCCTACGTGCCTTCGCTGCAAATCTTCGCTTCGTCCAGAGGGTCAAGCCATTTCATCCGTTCGTTGGAGAGATTTGGAATAGTTTGGGACCCTCCAAGTCGATATTGCTAATGGTTTCTATAAGGAAAAGGGAACCAGCTCATGGTTCGTTGGCTGAGCTTTGGGCAACCCCCCAAAGGTTGACTCGGAATTTTAAAAATATATTGTGTATAAGCCCTTTCAAAAGAAATGCGTCTTAAAATTATGTATGATATGGTTAATTTCGGGTAGGCGGTTTACTGTGCAGGTTTCCAACTCAGAAACTCAAAAACAAATTTTAGAATATTTAAAAATGATTTTCTTGTGATAGTTTAAATTTATAAATTCACGCGGGACTGAAGGGCAATATATTATAACTGCCTCACAAATGATGGGACCCAAACATATATGACTAAGACAACCTGTCAGTTTTGCAAACCTTTATTGTTGAATAAACAAATATAATATGTTTATCATAACAAATATATATGTTTTTTATATTTTTTCATTCTTATCTCTATAGTATAAGCGATCTGTTCTTTTATTACATATAAACATATAAATATGTTTTTTTTATTCCCAATTTCATTCTTTGTTTCAACAAAAGATACAAATTTAAAACAAGTCAAAACAACACGTATTCTTGATTATACCATTTAAAACATTTGCTTAAAGTGCCCCAATAAACAAATGTTGAACAACAAAAACAACGGAAAGTTGTACTATTTTTATGTACAATAAAAACTCTGAATCATAGCTAAAATTGTCGGAACTTATGGCTCTTGAAAAATTTGTTTGCAATTAATTTATTGTTTTGAACATGGCAAATACATATGCAAATGCAACTCAATACTTTTGCCACAAACTTTTGGAACTCAAAACGAAACAAGCTGGCACATATTCGCATTCATTTGGCAGCCAATTTAACAAAAAAAGTTGCCAACATCTTTGGCCTAATGAACGAAACTCCAAACAAGCAAAACTGAAATGTGGAATATGGTTGTGCAGATGGGTGGGATGGCAAAAGACTAGAGGTTTTCCCAGACCCGTTGGGGAAATGCAATTTTGTAATTGACTCACAATCAGTCGTGCGGAAGTTGTTTAGCTATGCAATATGGCTGCCAAATGCGACAAACGGATGCAATTTGTGAAATATGCACGAAATAAGACGATAGAGCGAGGTCGGGAATGCACAAGTCTCACCCAGAGCACCCTTTTCCACCAGAGATTGAAATGTCAATCCGTTTATGGGAGTGAGACATGTCCCCGTCCGTGTTTCTGCTCCACTCCCTTCGCTCGAGTGGAACATGTTTGTCAGCTAGTTTTCGATGCGATTTTTTCCACCAGCTGATGCTGGTGCTAAAGGGTATATTGGTTTTTCTAATTGTTAGAAAAGGGCACAAGTCATACAAATCTAAGTGATAGGATAAATAATATAAGTGATATAATAAACAACTTTTTAAGATTATTTTTTATAGTCCTTATTAATTTGTTTGCCACTTAATAGTCAACCAAATGCATTAACCAGCACACTACTAAATTATTCGTGTTAAACTTATAAGTTATCAAGATTGAAAGTTTTGGATCGCAACCTCCATTTAAAAAATATTAGTATTATATTAAATTTTTCTTTGGTTAGTTTACGGAATAATTACAATAATGTATACTAATGATCAATAAGTTTATTATTTTATTCTTATCATGCTTATTGAAGTCTTTAACAATTCATTACATTTGTTTTAATTCAAATAAAATAGTTAAACATCATAAAATGTTTAAATATCACCAATTAATTAAAACAATTTTAATGTTTATTTATTATAAGCTACATAACTGGTATATATTAGTTGCTACTTGCGAATCAAGTTTTTCCTCTTTAGCAGGCAGTCGAGCCACAGAATGCTGCCAAAATGTCCGATTGTCGCCCACATGTCTGAGCTGAATGTCGCGCCCGAATGCCGCTGACAGATGTTCCACCTTTGGACAGTAAACGGGGTACGGAGACAAACTATTTGGCTTCGCCGGGAACCTGGAGGCTTCGTAATAGTTTTTATGTGCGGTTTACAGGTGAGTTTCTGCATTTGCCCTGCCATAAACGAACAATTTGTGTAATGCATTTGGTGAATGATTAGGTGGACGGGGGAGATTGCGGCTCGGGTTTGGTGACTGAGGGGCGACTGGTTTTTGTGTGTCCATGTCCGGAAAGGAAGTCGTTCTATGCAGTTTCATTTTTTATGCTCACAGTTTTCCGAAAGTTGTAAAAAAGTTTGCACATAAAATGTTTACATATTGACATTTGCGGATGCTTTTCCGACCATAAAGGGGCAGGTATATTTCGCTAAAAGTTCGCCTCAGCTTTAAAGGGTCTTATTTTAATTAAACACAACACTTTGGTCTTAATTTAAATAAATAACATTTTTTCGTATTAAGGGTCTTTTTTCCACATGTAGTTTGATAACTTGTGGTTTGCGAATTGAATTTGTCATGACACGCTTAACTAAAATAAACCATTTTAGTGGTTTTGATTTTAATCCTTTTTTTAATTTGTTTTTTTCTATCGGAAATATTTGGGAATTTATATTGTAAAAATAATACATAGGTTAAACACATGTTCTTAAAACAAATTAATTAATTTAGGCTTTTAGCATTTTTATTGTAAATTTCGATTTTAGTCGACTGAAAGTTGGCCAATAAAAGCATACAATTAACTAAATCAGTTGCTCAATCTGTTCACAATTGTTTCTTTATCGCATCTTCTCCACCCGACAATCAAGTTGAACAAACGTTCACTTAACCAACTGGATACAAACAAGCCAAATAACATTTCTTACAGACTTTTCCCAATTAATAAGAAAAAGGTCAGTTTTGTTATACAAGTTTGTAATACCCTCGCCAACTTCAAAGTATATTAGTAAAAATTTTACAGAAACTTCTATCAGCTCCAAAACCTTAATTGTAAGTAAGGTAAGCTTCTAGGGATGTTTGCATTGGTTTTGACTTTCAATTTTTGGTTTTAGTAAGGATTTCTGTTTCCTTCACTGCCTTGCAATCTGGTGTTCGAAATCGGACTACCTTTTTCAAGGGTATAATATGGATTATTTAACCCGTCTACAGGCCCGCAGGAACAAATGTTTTCTTCTTCCTTTTATTTTTTTGATGCAAATGTCAACAATTAATTTGGAGGCAAAATATGCGCAGTCTCAGAGAAAAATAAATAAACGAAAGAAACAGGCTGAAAGTTGAGGAAGAAAATTGTTAGCGGCAAAGTAAACAACTGGGGGAAAGGTGGAAAAATGTAAGAGCAGCGCCGCCAATTAAAGTTGAGATTGCAGAGGCGGATCCAGAACCAGATGAGCAGGTGGCGACCGGGTGGCGGCAGAATCTAAGGCCTCCATTCCGAGGGAGCAGGTGGCATAATGAAGTCGATTGGAAGTTGAGTTCACTTGAGCTGGAATAATTTGTTTTAATGTTTATGTTGGCGCCCGAGGCAAATGCAAAGTAGCTAGAAAATTAACGAGAGCCTTATTACGTTTGCTTATAAATATGAATATACAGCTAGAATTCATAGCACGTCATACATGGCGGATAAAATAAAATTTAAAAGTGGAATATTAATGCTTCTTGCCAAAAGAGTTTGGAGAGCAGTGAAATAATGGAGAGTCCTTTTGGGCCTATTCATGATTTTGGTTCAAAGAAAGACACAATTTTCAGAGCTGGCATGAATACTTTATGAGGCATTTTCCTTCGTCAACTTTACAACTTTAAACTTTGATCTAGGCCTAAGTAATCGAACCGCATCATTGGCCATCATGTTCGGACATCGGCGTTGCCTGTTCCATTCAACAAGCCACTTTAATGGCAGCCTCGAGCTCTTCGTTTTCATCTTGCTTTCATTTACATGTCCTGTGAAGCATTCCGAACTTTTGCTGGACTCCTCCAGAATCTGTCAGATGTATTTGATTGATTTGTTGGCCAATTTGCCACCGTCTGTTGTTCGTTGGAGTTTGCACAAAGTTGTGTATGCCAGTGTCTTCGCTCCCAGTCCACTGGAATCACTTTTCTGCCACATTCATGCATGATTTATGTTTGAACATATAAAGCTGCCACTGACGTAGTTGGGGAAATAAACTTGGGAAAGAAGAAGGGGATGCAATATCGAACCTGTTTCCCCATTAAGACGCCCTTTGAACTTCGTCTCTGACTAGAATGTCTGTCGCGGATCTGGGGTTAAATCAATCAATGACTTAATGGCTTATTGTGAATATATTCCCACATCGCCATTCTATTTTCCCCAAGGCCAATATATCAAGTGTCAGTCCTTGCGTTAATTAGATTAATAAATTACCCAAGAACCACTTGAAAACGGCTAATGCCAATCAATCTGATCTGACTTAAGAAAATATTAAGAAGATAATGATTTGCATTGAATTATTTTGTAATATTGTTTTATTATAAAACCTATTAAGCAATATGTGCTGAAGATCATTGAAAAAATACTTCACTGGTTAAATGACTAAAATAGTATTTGTTCATAGCTGAGTTAGTGCTCTGCTAAGTTATAGATAGCCATCAACTGTCAAAAAACTCCTAAAAATAAATGGACTTCTGAACTTAAAAATCATATTGAAATATAAATGGACTGCCTGCTTTCGAATTCCCGTATGTTTAGTTGAAGAAAGTACTGCTGGCTCAGATTTTAAAGAGCAGTTTGATACAGTTAAGTTTAGGTTATTCAATCACAATTTACTTTTTCTTTACATTGTCATGGACATGGATAACCAAAAAGATATCTTAGGTTGATCATCTGTCAACCAGGTCCGAGGTGAAAGGATAGGTGTCTGGCAATTTATCGTTCCTAATTATGGCGTATGCGTAATAAGAGTATTAATTAATTTTGGCCGGCAGTCTCGCCCTCTGCAGTTTATGGCAGACAATTGAGTCAACACAGCCCGGCTAATTGATGGCAGGCGACATTTTCCTTTGGTTCCAAAGCCTACTTCACTGGTTAGCCTTGTTTTACTTTTCCCACTTTGCTTATGTGTGGGCAAACAAAGACTGGGCACTGATTGATTGAGTTTCTGTTTCTGTGGCAAGAAGGCTTCAGTTAATGGATCAATGCCTTTCTGTATAGTTTGCTGACATGCTCGTGTACACTCACCATCACTCCTCCCACTTTTCCCACTTATTGTAATAAAGTAAGGACGGTTGGAAGAAAACAAATTGGCTTTTCAGATTGCAGCTAATGCAGTTGACTTTTTCTTTTAAATGGTCTGAATGCGTTCTTTTGCATACAAATTGCACGTTATAACCTTTATTTCTTAAGGGTGAATCAAAATCAATGAGCAGTAAATTGATTACCGGGGATCTCATATCACAATGATTTTTTTGCAGGAGCCGTAAATAAGTTTTAATTGAGATTTTCTATTTTAAAAGAATTTGTACTAATTTTGGTGCCAATTTGACTGATTCTGTAGACAATAGCAATTTACAACAGTATTTTAAAAATAAAAGTATTACATAACTCTTATTTACAGTCCACGGCAAATACACTTCTTTAAATTGATATTTCATTTGGCTGCAGTTGGCCTTGACTTAGTGGGAAGTTAAGCCCTTTGAATTTTGAGGGCACAACGCTCATTCAACTACACGATAACGTACGAGAAACATCAAATACAATTCTATAAAAAAATTTCGTTTTTTTTCAAGTGACAATCAACTAGTCCGCGAATCAAGATGCTCATCCCAGAGGTGGACATGTGGAATGTGTCCAAGAGTAGTCGCATTCACCGTCTGACCATCTTCAAATGCGACAAGCCGGGTCTGAAAATGCTGGACTACGCCTCGGTGCGTGGAGTTGATTCGTTTTACTTGGACTGCCAGGACTACAGGGACCACTTCAAGGACCCTTATAACCGGGTCCACAAGCCGGTGAGATTCAGGACGTTTGGCAAGTGCGGCCAGAAGTTGGACCCCGACGATCAGCTCCTGATCATGCCTCCGCTGTGGGGCATCGATCGCCAGCCCATCGTCTACCCCATCGACTACCAATCCGACATGGCACTCGGCCGGCGGGACTGCGATCACATCAAGGCATTCTGCTCCCCAACCGAGAGCCTGAGCTTCAAGCGATAGTTTGCAGATCCCCATGAATTTACATTGTTAGCAACAATTTAAATACAATTTTCAGCATTGCAAAACGTACAGCTACATTAGTTTTTCTTTTGTTGTAAATATAATTAACCCTTTAAAATTGTGTCGACAAATGTTTTTTGAAGGATACTGCAACTGCTCATTTTAAAAATGTCGTCAGAAATTTTATGTCAAGGTAACATAATACGAAAAGTAACTTATGGCATTTTTGGGACACTACATTTTAAATGAAAAACTGAACAAAAACTATCATGGTTAATATAACACTAATAGGACAATTTATTTTTAAATTTAGACACAAATTAAAATTTTGTGTTTGAAAAAATAATTCGATTTCTTAAGCCGATATAAAAGTACTCATGTCAGTTCATAGATTCCCGTCCAAATTTTTTTATAAAACTAATGAAAATAAAGTTGAATAAGAATCTGGACAATTAGCTATTATTTTTGATAAATTGTTCCTATAAAATTGTTTTAATTTATTCGTGCCGCATCTGCAAAAACTAAATTAACGCTTGCTAAGTTGATAATGAATCTAATGATTAATATTATTATAAGCCATAATTAAATAGTATTATGTTTTGTAAGGTAAATTGCTTCTGTTGTTCTCCGTAACGCCTTTCAGTATGAGTCTGTCAATCTGTCCGCATATAACTTCCTGACCCTGTTGTTTTCCGTCGGTTGCGATGCACTTTTCCCCCGCTTGCTGGCGTGCAAATTGCTAATGAATTTAATTCCCCAGCACACACATTCGTACACAACGCCGGGGAAAGCGGAAAACGGAGAGGAAAAGCGGGAAAAGGAAACATGGCGACAGCTCTGCTAACATGTGATGTAAGCGACAAGTGAACATTGTCTGTTGTCGGAAAATCTAATAACCGACAGCCAGCAAACACACAATAACACAGTTTGCAGCTACTGTATTGCCGGGTTTTAATTTGTGTTGGGACCTGCATACTAAGTGGGGCCAGCCGCAGCGGTATCGAAGGACACCAGACGCGAACTGATTGAATTGCGGGGGCGGAACGGGGCGTGGCGGTTTTAGTTGATCCGACACGGCCATTGCGAAATGGCCGCTCATCCCGCTAGCTGATTAAGTATACGCCGTGTGTGCGAGGCCATGAAAAATACACTAAATGCATTTTAGTGGAAATCGCCGGGTGCCAAATTTGAAGCCTATTATCACACCCACCTCCCCCTTCCAGTGGCAAGAGCAACTATATAATATTGTTTTCGGCAACTCAATTTCCATCAGCATAAATCAAAACTCGTCTGTAGTTCATTTGCATAGCGCCGGGCTCCCTGAAAATATCCACGAAAATTGTTGAAAAATCTATTTCAACTTTGCAGACAAATCATATTTTCGGCTAGAGCGGAAAGCGTCAGAAACTTTATGGCAGCTAAAAACTTTTATTTTGTGGAATACGACGGACGACCGCCGTCAGTGGGCATTAAATGTTTATATTTCAATTTGAACCCGAGCTCAGGCACTGCCCCTTGCAGTCCGACTCCAGTTCGAATATGTTCTTTGTGGACAAACATCCGCCGTAGGTAAAGGACTCGCACTTCAGCCGCTCCTTGATGAAGCGCCACATTTGAAACGAGGCCTTGCAGGGTCCAGTTTGACTGGGCTTGTCATCGCATTTCCCTGGGAAATGGACAACAACATTATGCCCCAGCATCCGGCATTTCCCACAAAACAACAACTTACGCGTATTGTAGGCCCAAACACCGACCACAAACAAAAGCAGAACAACAATAGTCCCAAACTCAAATTTCATTTTAGATTCTTTCCGAATTTTCCTTTGGTTTTGATTGTTTTGGCAGTGCAAAGGTTGGATTTCCGATTTACACTGCGGACTTTACCTCACCAAGGCCCATGCAATAAGCTTCGCATTCCTCGCCGTTTTCGAAGAGATTCTCCGTTCGATCGCAGCCGCCCCAATGGAACATTATGCACTCCTTGAGGCTGCTGGAGTAGAACCACCGTACTTTATAGTCCTTACAGGACCCCGTCACCGTGGGTCTCTTGTCACACTTTGCTTAGGGAAAGCTTGTGAATATAAGATGCATTTGAAGTGAGTTTAAAGTGTTCTCACCCTTCTGACCGCTCGAAAATTCCACATACAGCATTATGATCACGGGGAAAAGCCACAGAATTTGTTGACCCATTCTGCTCTGTAGTATAGGTATTGGAAACTGATTTGCCAAAATGTCATAAGTGTAATGCTAACAACGATTCCCTAAATAAGCGAAACTAATTCTCAAATAATCTGTAATTTTAAGGTTAATATCACAATTTAGGGGTAGAATAGGTATGGAAAAACATTTAAACATTAGTATTAGGCCTATTTAATTAATTTAAATTTATGTCGAACAATAAATAAATAAACTCACAACCTTTTATACCAAATGTGTACAAATATATGTATGTACCTCGCAATTCCTAAAACAAAGCAATAACATTTACTTTAATAGTCCATTGTATACCGTTTACTTCTAATAATTGAGAATCTATGCTGTTTTATTCAATGCTTTAAGAAATATCTAGTTTATTTGTTAAGTTTTTCAAAACCAAATGGACTTGATTAGATTTATGGATTTTATGTTTTATCCCATACGATTTACGATTAAATCAATGCATGACGCCTCACATTCTTCAAGTGAACGAAAATAGTTTTCTGTTGGAAAACATCCACCGAAGGAAATCCGTTCACATTTCTTATCCTTGAAGACCCACCTTCGAAATCGGGCAGTACAAACGCCTCGCTTGGTTGGAGGAGCGTCACATTTCTCTAAAATATTAAACATTTTCAATTGGGGTAAGAGACTAATTTAAAGTTTTCAGACTCGTACCCTTATCGTAGGCAATAGAAACAGTGCAAAGTGCCACGAAAGCGCAGGCAGTGAAAATTAATTTCAAATCCATCCCTTATCGACTTATTCTGGAGGTTGCGAAAAAGTAAGAATTTATACAGATTTTTTCACCGGAACAGAATAAATATTGTGGTAAGATCTGGTGTGTTAATATGGTAAAGGAGAATCGTAACTTACTTCTTAAGATTGTTAAAAAAAAATCGAATTAGAGTGTTACTAAACAAATTGTTATGCCTCCGCTGACAGTATTTTAATGTTTACCAGTTCTTTGGAAATTAAATATATTTATCTTTATAATTAGCGCCAATCAGCATTTTAATTAGCATCAATTAAATTCAACAAATATTGCCAAGTCAACCTAAAGCACTTGGAAAAAGTTGTGGTTTCTTAAGACAATATCTTAAGGTATGAATATGGAATGCATCCAAAATAAATACAAATAATAAAGGTAACCCTCTAATGTTTTCTGCGTTTAGAAATCTGATTTATTTTTACAAGTTTTGTTGTTAATTTTAGAATTTTAATTCCTTTTTATTTTCGTTAAGTGCTAGTTTTGGCAAGCTGTCTTGCATGCTTCTATTGTACTAAATATGTTGGCTGTGGCATCGCATCCGCCATATATAATTCGCTCACATATTTTATTCTTAAAGACCCAGCTTGGTATATAGGCCCTGCACCTACCTTTTACGCTAGGGGGAGCATCGCACTTCTCTGAAAAAACAATTTGATTTTAAGAAAAAAACTTACTTAAAGGTTTAATAGTTTTACCTTTGTCGTAGGCTATAACAACAGTGCAAAGTGTCACGATAGCCAAGAAAATTAAAATGAGTTTGGAGTCCATGTTATACCGTGTTATTTCCGTTTCGCTTTGAGCTTCTGAAAAGTTGTACAGTTTTATATATGAACTCAGTTTATGTAATCGCGTTAATGTGGCATGCAAAAAACTTTACTAATAGAATTGATATGCCCTTGAATTATGTATTATAATATTTATCATCTTACAGGGAATAATATACACATAACGTTATAAAGCATTCCCAATTTTAATTATCAGCATTTCAATCAATCAATTTATACAGACTTTTTCACTGGAACAGAATAAATATTGTGGTAAAATCTGATGAGTTAATATGGTAAAGGAGAATCGTAACTTACTTCTAAAGATTGTTAAAAAACTATGATCGAATTATAGTGTAACTAAACAAATTGTTATGCCTTCGCTGACAGTATTTTAATGTTTACCAGTTCTTTGGAAATTAAATATATTTGTCTTTATAATTAGCGCCAATCAGCAATTTAATTAGCATCGATTAAATTCAACAAATATTGCCAAGTCAACCTAAAGCACTTGGAAAAAGTTGTGGTTTCTTAAGACAATTCCGTAGGTATGAACATGAAATGCATTCAAAATAAATACAAATAATAAAGGTAACCCTTTGATGTTTTCTTCGGTTAGAAATCTGATTTATTTTTACAAGTTTTGTTGTTAATTTTTGTATTTTGATTCCTTTTTATTTTCGTTAAGTGTTAGTTTTGGCAAGCTGTCTTGCATGCTTCTATTGTACTAAATATGTTGGCTGTGGCATCGCATCCGCCATATATAATTTGCTGACATTTTTTTTCTTTATAGACCCAGCTTGGTATATAGGCCCTGCAAACACCTTCTTCGCTAGGGGGAGCATCGCACTTCGCTGCAAAAACAATTTGATTTGAAGAACAAAACTTACTTAAGGTTTTTAGAGTTTCACCTGTGTCGTAGGCTATAACAACTGTGCAAAGTGTCACGATAGCCAAGAAAATTAGAATGAGTTTGGAGTCCATGTTATACCGTCTTATTTCCGTTGCGCTTTGATCTTCTGAAAAGTTGTACAGTTTTATATATGAAGTCAGTTTAAGTAATCGAGTTAATGTGATGCATGCAAAAAACGTTACTAATATAATTGATATGCCCTTGAATTAGGTATTATAATATTTATCATCTCACAGGGAATAAAATACATTTAACGTTATAAAGCATTCCCAATTTTAATTATCAGCATTTCAATCAGAAATTGTGATATGGTAAAGCCACTTTAAATTACTTTATAAAGAGTCTTTGTGTTTTAGATGATTTTGTGAAAAACTATTATCTTAACTTCAACATTCATTTAAAAAACTTGTACTTGTAAATATAGTACATTACAAATATGAATAAGTTAAAAACAAGAAAGGTATTAAACAAGAAAGGAAAGCTAACTTCGGGCGGAGCCGAAGTTGATATACCCTTGCAGAATTCTCTATAATAATATTCTCCAAAATTATTCCTATGATGCATTCTTAATACTCATAAAAAATCCAAACTTCCTAACTTTAAAAACACCAAAGTTATGGCATTTCGAATCGTTCAGTTATATGGCAGCTATAGGATATAGTCGGCCGATCCTTATGAAATTTGGTAGGTCGGATTGATTGGCCAAATATAAAACCTGTAGAAAATCTTAACTTTCTAACTTTACAAACACCAAAATTATGGCATTTCCAACCGTTCAGTTATATGGCAGCTATAGGATATAGTCGGCCGATCCTTATGAAATTTGGTAGGTCGGATTGATTGGCCAAATATAAAACCCATAGAAAATCCCAACTTTCTAACTTTACAAACACCAAAGTTATGGCATTTCCGATCAATCAGTTATATGGCAGCTATAGGATATAGTCGGCCGATCCTTATGAAATTTGGTACGTCGGATTGATTGGCCAAATATAATACCCATAGAGAGTCCCAACTTCCTAACTTAACAAACAGCAGAGTTATGGCATCTCCGATCAATCAGTTATATGGCAGCTATAGGATATAGTCGGCCGATCCCGGCCGTTCCGACTTATATACTGCGTGCAAAGGAAAGAAGGGTGTGTGCAAAGTTTCAATTCGATAGCTTTAAAACTGAGAGACTAGTTTGCGTAGAAACAGACAGACGGACAGACGGACAGACGGACAGACGGACATGGCTATATCAACTCAGGAGGTGATCCTGATCAAGAATATATATACTTTATAGGGTCGGAGATGCCTCCTTCACTGCGTTGCACACTTTTGACCAAAATTATAATACCCTCTGCAAGGGTATAAAAATATACCACTGTACCAACACTGGGATAAGAATGAAAAGAGTACATATGTATAATATATATGCATATATGTATATTTAAAGGCAATAAAGTTATTCCGGTTTGGCAAGTTTTTCCAATTACTAGCCACAGGTCCCAATTTGACTTATACATTTCCTAACCCTTATACTATTAGTACAAATTTCAAAAACTTGCCCCATAAAGTTTTTCTTCTCAGTTAATTTTATTTTGGTTTAATGCGTTATTTTTGGCAAGCTGTCTTGCATTCTTCTAATGAATTAAATAAGTGGGGTGAGTAATCGCATCCGCCATATACAAATGGCTGACATTTTTCTTCTTTATAGACCCACTTCCCATTATAGAACTCGCACCTACCTCTTCCGCTAGGGGGAGCATCGCACTTCTCTGAAAAAACAATTTAATTTGGCGAAAAAAACTTATTTAAGGATTTAAGCGTTTCACCTTTGTCGTAGGCTATAACAACAGTGCAAAGTGTCATGATAGCCAAGAAAATTAAAATGAGTTTGGAGTCCATGTTATACCGTCTTATTTCTGTTTCGCTTTGAGCTTCAGAAAAGTTGTACAGTTTTATATATGAAGTCAGTTTAAGTAATCGAGTTAACGTAACTAATAGAGTTGATATGCCATTGAATTAGGTTATATAACTTTTATCATCTCACAGGGAATACTTATACATTTCCTATTCCTTTCACTGTAAGTACAAATTACACAAACAAACCCATTGAAGTTTGTACTTTTTATACCCTTGCAGAGGGTATTATAATTTTGGTCAAAAGTATGCAACGCAGTGAAGGAGACATCTCCGACCCTATAAAGTATATATATTCTTGATCAGGATCACCTCCTGAGTTGATATAGCAATGTCCGTCTGTCCGTCTGTCTGTTGGTCTGTCTGTTTCTACGCAAACTAGTCTCTTAGTTTTAAAGCTATCGAATTGAAACTTTGCACACACCCTTCTTTCCTTTGCACGCAGTATATATGTCGGAACGGCCAGGATCGGCCGACTATATCCTATAGCTGCCATATAACTGATTGATCGGAAATGCCATAACTTTGGTGTTTGTAAAGTTAGGAAGCTGGAATTTTCTATGGGTTTTATATCTGGCCAATCAATCCGACCTACCAAATTTCATAAGGATCGGCCGACTATATCCTATAGCTGCCATATAACTGATTGATCGGAAATGCCATAACTTTAGTGTTTGTAAAGTTGGGAAGTTGGGATTTTCTATGGGTTTTATATTTGGGCAATCAATCCGACCTACCAAATTTCATAAGGATCGGCCGACTATATCCTATAGCTGCCTTATAACTGAACGATTGGAAATGCCTTAACTTTGGTGTTTGTTAAGTTAGGAAGGTCGGATTTTCTATGGGTTTTATTTTTGGCCAATACCAAACTTCATAATAATCGGCCGACTATATCCTATAGCGGCTATATAACTGAACGATTGGATATGCCATATCTTTGGTGTTTTTAAAGTTAGGAAATTGGGATTTTTTTATGAGTATTAAGAATGCATCATATGAATAATTTTGGAGAATATCATTTACAGAGTATTCTGCAAGGGTATATCAACTTCGGCTCCGCCCGAAGTTAGCTTTCCTTTCTTGTTAGGAATAAGTTTTATTTTATTTGATATAATTATTTTTTTTCTTATTGGTTTATTTCTTGCAAGCTGTCTTGCATTCTTCTAATGTTTTAAATAAGTTGGCTGTGGCATCGCATCCGCCAAAAATCAATCGCTGACATATTTTTATACCCTTGCAGAGGGTATTATAATTTTGGTCAAAAGTGTGCAACGCAGTGAAGGAGACATCTCCGACCTTATAAAGTATATATATTCTTGATCAGGATCACCTCCTGAGTTGATATAGCCATGTCCGTCTGTCCGTCTGTCCGTCTGTCCGTCTGTCCGTCTGTCTGTCCGTCTGTCTGTCCGTCTGTCTGTCCGTCTGTCTGTCCGTCTGTCTGTTTCTACGCGAACTAGTCTCTCAGTTTTAAAGATATCGAATTGAAACTTTGCACACACCCTTCTTTCCTTTGCACGCAGTATATAAGTCGGAACGGCCGGGATCGGCCGACTATATCCTATAGCTGCCATATAACTGAACGATCGGAAATGCCATAACTTTGGTGTTTGTAAAGTTAGGAAGTTGGGATTTTCTATGGGTTTTGTATTTGCCTAATCAATCCGACATGCCGAATTTCATAAGGATCGGCCGACTATATCCTATAGCTTCCATATAACTGATTGATCGGAAATGCCATAACTTTGGTGTTTGTAAAGTTAGAATGTTGGGATTTTCTATGGGTTTTATATTTGGCTAATCAATCCGACATGCCGAATTTCATAAGGATCGGCCGACTATATCCTATAGCTGCCATATAACTGATTGATCGGAAATGCCATAACTTTGGTGTTTGTAAAGTTAGGAAGTCGGCATTTTCTATGGGTGTTATATTTGGCCAGCCAATCCGACCTACCAAATTTCATAAGGATCGGCCGATTATATCCTATAGCTGACATATAACTGAACGATTGGAAATGTCATAACTTTGGTGTTTTTAAAGTTAGGAAGTTGGGATTTTTTATGAGTATTAAGAATGCATCATATGAATAATTTTGGAGAATATAATTTACAGAGTATTCTGCAAGGGTATATCAACTTCGGCTCCGCCCGAAGTTAGCTTTCCTTTCTTGTTTTTCCTAAAGACCCACCTGAGAAAACCGGCCTTGCAAACCCCTGTCTCGGTAGGAGGAGCATCGCACTTCCCTGCAAAAACAATTTGATTTGAAGAACAAACCCTTTTTATGGTTTTAAGCGTTTCACCTTTGTCGTAGGCTATAACAACAGTGCAAAGTGTCACGATGGCCAAGAAAATTAAAATGAGTTTGGAGTCCATGTTATACCTACCGTCTTCTTGTTTCGCTTTGAGCTTCTGATTTCCACAGTTTAATATAGGAAGTCAGTTTAAGTAATCGAGTTATTGTGGCATGAAAAAAACGTATCTAATATAATTAATATTCCCTTGCATTAGGTATTATAATGTTTATCACCGCACAGGGAATAATACAAACATAACTAAATAAACCATTGAACATTTGTAATCATCAGCATTTTAATTAGATTCCACTTAAATCTAAATTGTGATATGGTAAACCCACTGCAAAATACTTTTTGAAAGGCAATAAACTTATGCCGACTTGGCCATTTATTTCAATTACTAGTGAGTGGTCTGAATTTGACTTATATATTTCCTAATATTTCACTGTATGTACAAATTACACAAGACAAACCCATTGAAGTTTGTTCTTTTTATACCCTTGCAGAGGGTATTATAATTTTGGTCAAAAGTGTGCAACGCAGTGAAGGAGACATCTCCGACCCTATAAAGTATATATATTCTTGATCAGGATCACCTCCTGAGTTGATATAGCCATGTCCGTCTGTCCGTCTGTCCGACTGTCCGTCTGTCTGTCCGTCTGTCTGTTTCTACGCGAACTAGTCTCTCAGTTTTAAAGATATCGAATTGAAACTTTGCACACACCCTTCTTTCCTTTGCACGCAGTATATAAGTCGGAACGGCCGGGATCGGACGACTATATCCTATAGCTGTCATATAACTGAACGATCGGAAATGCCATTACTTTGGTGTTTGTAAAGTTAGGAAGTTGAGATTTTCTATAGGTCTTATTTTTGGCCAATCAATCTGACCTACCGAATTTCATGAGAATCGGCCGACTATATCTTATAGCTGCCATATAACTGAACGATCGGAAGTGCCATAACTTTGGTGTTTGTTAAGTTAGGAAGTTGGGATTTTCTATGGGTTTTATTTTTAGCCAATCAATCCGACCTATCAAATTTCATAAGGATCTGCCGACTATATCCTATAGCTGCTATATAACTGAACGATTGGAAATGCCGTAACTTTGGTGTTTTTAAAGTTAGGAAGTTGGGATTTTTGATGAGTATTAAGAATGCATCATATGAATAATTTTGGAGAATATAATTTACAGAGTATTCTGCAAGGGTATATCAACTTCGGCTCCGCCCGAAGTTAGCTTTCCTTTCTTGTTAGGAATAAGGTTTATTTTATTTGATACAATTAATTTTATTTTTGCCTAATGTTTTATTTCTTGCAAGCTGTCTGACATTCTTCTAATGAATTAAAAATATTGGCCGTGGCATAGCATCCGCCATATAATAATCGCTGACATATTTTTCCTTTATAGACCCACATGCGCTTATAGGCGATACAATATCCTTTTTCGCTAGGAGGAGCATCGCACCGCTCTGGAAAATACAATTGGAGTTGGAGAATTAGAATTTCAGGTTTTAGGAGTTATACCTTTATCGTAGGCAATGGCAATAGTGCAAAGTGTCACGACAGCCAAGAAAATTAATATGAAGTTGGGAGACATGTTATACCGTGTTATTTGTATTTTGCTTTGAGCTTTTAAAAATCTTGTGGCGAAAACTTGTCGCGTTATTAAAATGTAACTAAACCAATTGTTACGCCCTTATAGGAGGTATTCTAATTTTTATCATTTAATAGGAAATAATACACACTTCACTTTTTAAAGCATTCCGATTCTTTACCATCACGATTTTAATCAAATGTACATTGTCAAGGCACCCAAAATCTCTTAGGAAAGAGTTTTGGTATTTTAGGAGATTTTGGATAAAAGTACTTTCTTAAATGATGAAAATACTTAAATGGCTGGTGAGAAATATAATACATCCAAACAAAAAATTCTATGTACCACTTTGAAACTCTAACAAGTTTATGTGTTACCTATAAAATTACTATATCTTGAGTAATATATACAGGAAATATTTGCATACAGAAAGTTGTGCCTAAATATTAAATTAAATACGTCAGCTTTGAAGTACGGATTTTATATCTGTGTAGGGAATGTTGGTGGTATTGAATGATTCGTTTTTTTTAAATTTCAAAAGCTACAGGAAAAGTCCAAATTTCCCTTGGCCTTTTTGACACCGGAAAATCCGGTGGCATTCAACCACTAACACTCGGCACCTGACCACATTTAATGACACACAGCAGGCCGACCCAACCCCACTTGGCTGGAGCTTTATTGATTCGCTATTATGTTTTTACATTTTGGCGGCCGAAACTGATTTTTAATGCCCCCGAAATCCATTTTGTGGGCCTCAATGGCCAGCCAACAGGGCGTATTCGCAATTTGTATGTCCCTGTTCATTATTCGCGACTCCATTTTCACTGGTCACTGCGGTCAGTTTGGGTTGGACTGTACTTTTGCGGGGTTACACTCAGTTGGGTAGCTGAATTTTTGGCTTTGTAGGCGTTTTGCAGCGATGAACACTTGCTTAAATCGCTTTAAAAAATCGAATGAAGTTGCAAAATTGTGCTTTAGATGGTAAATGATTTTTTACACTACATTGACATGATCATTTACGTTAAATTTCCATTTACTTAAATTTCTACTTTTAAAAAAATGTCGTTATCAGTCAATATTTTATTTGGTATTATTATTGATTCATTTCACAGGTTGGCTGCTCCTGAATCAGCACAGGCGTAACGAAACGGGGGATTCGATAAGCTGGCATTGGATTTCAATTTGAACACGTACTCAAACCCAAAAAAACGTAGGGCACATTTGGTATTGGGGGGGTGAGTTATTTATATGGGGATATAGTCGAGTTGCCTGTTCTTCCAATAAGCCATTGATACGTTAATGTATGTCCTGACCCCCTCCCCCCTCGCTCCCTTCCACACTCCCCTTTGTGTATGTGTGATTACGTGTGCATGTGCAAGTGTGTTTCTGTCAGCTTAAGTTGGCTTTTTGAAGGATTTGTAGGAGTGAGCGCCGTGCCATGTTTATTTTCTGGCGGGAGTAGCGGGATTGCATTTATGAGGGTATTACGTATACGCACAGTTGGCTTTGGGCGTTTTTTTCTTGTTTTATGGCTGGGACAAAGTCAAAAACAGTTATTTATTCATTTGTTATGGAAATCAAAAGCAGTACATATATTTCAACAATTAGCAGGACAAGAAAGGGTTAATCTATGGAGAATAATAAATTTGGCATTTACAAAAGAAGTGTTTAATAATATTTGTGATTGTAATTAACTCTTTTCAAACTTAAAGACCCCTTTCGATTCCCATGACAAATACCCAACTAAAATGAGCTCATTAATTAAACAGGCACAATCAATAAAATCTCTAAGCAATCAGAAATTATTAAGCGTAAGCTTTAACCTCAGAGACTATTGTTGTGCCTTTTGTAATACGAATAGGATTATCAAGCCCAAGACCCCTATCTATAACCAAACCCTGACAAGTACATTCAGTTCATTAACTAGACAAAGAAGACACTACATGTATGTGCCCACCCAAATTCAAATCTATTGACAATGTAATTAATGGAAACCCAAAACATTTCGGGGCCAAAGTGCAAACATCAGCAACAGGAGCATCTATTGCGACTGTCGATAAACAAGGCCGTCTGTGTGTGTGTGTGTGTTCGTCCTGTTGTCCTTATGTAAATAGGCAAACGTGACACGCCCCCATCTCCTTAAATTATCGTCGCAATTTCTACCCGCTTTCTAAGCGCAATGTTTATTAGAAACCCGAAAACGGAATACAAACAAGAACCAAAACAAATATTTATATTTGACATTTTAGACAAATGCGCGACACAGCTGGGGAATGCCCATCTCCTCCCCGTTTCGATTTTACCCCGAGCTGAATCCCCAGGGAGGTGTCACCAGTTGGATCAATCAAATCGGGCAATGAGCCATATGGAGCACTGGCGCCCACACAACTGTGCTGCGGCATCGGATTTCAGCAAAACTGTCAGAGTAAAATCCACATGAAAAGGACCATTGTTCTATGCGGTGTCAACATCCTGACGTGTTTCTGTGTGCATAATGAGTGAAACCCCAACCGCATGCAAATGTGATTAATTACGGGTGCCGGCAATGAGGTAAGTAAACCCGAGGGTAAACCTTCTGCTACGATATGATATTGCCACTCTTATTGACTGTAAATCAATATATTGCTTCTAAATATTAAGCAAAACCCTACCACAACATAAACAAGAAGCGACAGGGCAACCACAACAAATCGACATCAACTTTTCAGTCAAAAGCAAAACTCTTCAAGTCTTGTACATTTCTGTTTTGCCAAGCAAAATCAAAAGACAAAAGTTTTTCAAAAACCGCGCTCGAAACTTCTTCAACTTTTGCCGCAGGAAGAAAAACAGCAACAACCACAACAAGGAACAACATTAACGGCAGCCAAGCGAAATGACAACAGCAATCGGCGCTCATAAAGTTCAGAAAGTTATGTTGTTATATTATACTGATATCGGTTTTTGGTTAAGGCACCTCCATCCAACCACTTCGGCCATCCCCATTCATAGCGAAAAGTTTTATGTTTCGTTTCGAGAATTGATGTTGAAGGCTGTCAGCCGGGGGCGAAGGCCATTGACTGCGGTTTTTAAAGTCAAAGCCAGCGAGAAAAGTGAAAGGGAAAATGCTCTCCAAGTTGACAATGGAAATGGGAAATGGATAAGAATCGAAGAGGAAGGCTGGCTGTCGGGAGCAGGCTGAACTGTCTGACGCGAAAAGTGAGTTTCACAGGTGTTTCCATTGTTATATAATATCATTACCGCTTCTTGAAAATTATTGAGGATGAAAGTTACCAGGAATTTGTAGGAGAGCTAGGGGAAATGGAAAACGGGTGAAATATATACAATTTATCAATAAGTTATGCAGGAAGTTAAAATGATCTCCTCGGGTAGATAAGTATTTTACCATTATGAATATTATTTTCTTTTTTGGGTTATATAGGATGACAATTAAAACTGGACCATTATTAATCACTGACAGAAATACAATGTGCTTAAGTGAAATTAAATTTATGCATTTGAATTCTATTTTGTTTGAATAATTTTTAAAACTATTAAAAATTCAACGAAAAGAAGAAATGCTAAAAAAGTTCAGAAGTCATCCAAGATAAGTGAAATGTATAATTCAGTTATTACCGGAATACGAGCATATGCAATTTATTGGGAAATTATATTGGGAAATAGCTAAGTGGTAATGAAAATACAAATAGCTGGGATATTGCCATTCCCATTCAGTTTCCACTCACCACAACCAACACTCGGAACTATGGCCATAAATATTTCACATATCGTTGCTGTTCGCCACCAATTAGATTGCCGCACTGCAAATATCGAGGCAAGTGAAGCGAGAGAAAAAACGAAAGCGAAAACGAAAAATTGAACCGAACTCAACCGGGGAAAATCATTTTCAATTTCATTTATGAAAGCAAATAAATTTTTCAATTGGTTTTATTTAGCCATTTTTACCCTAACCCTCTCGCTTTCAGCCACCCACATTTCTCTCACTTTCGTTTTGGGTCTGTGAAACAAATAGAAATTCCGAAAGGCCGAAAGCAGACAAAATCAACTTCTTATAAAGCTGCTTTCGCCGAGGGAATCCTTTTTACTTTCCGTATGTTCCCCCCGCCATCGTCCAATAAAAGCCTGCTCAATGCCCGGCCCACGTAAATGCCGTAAAACGGGGCGTGGCCAAGGTGTTTACCTTCCCGCCCACCTTATTCCTGGCAGGGACATTTAATAAGCAGCCTAAGCGAAGGCTCAACACCGAAACTCTCGCCAGGAACTTCGACTTGGAGGCTTAGGGATGCTGCACTTGTGGCTTCTGCATATTTCAGACCTCAGCAGCCACTTATACCCGAAAACTCCGGTTTAAGTCTGTCGCTTGTTGGACAGAATTTAAAGACACGCATGGCTTGGTCTGGTCGAAAACCGCCTCTGTTGTTCTGGCCTTGGTAAGAGACAGCTAAAAGCTATCAGCTTTTACCACCCAATTTTTAAAGGTATGCTTCAGTTTAAATTCTTACCGTATTTTGTTAAACCGAGGAAACATTATTTTGTATTTCTTGAAATTAAAATTTAATATAAAATGTTTATACCTTCATTTCGTATTTATGTACTTGTTAAACATGCTTAATTCAATGAAATTTTATATAAAACGAGATAATCTTTTCATTGTATTAAAAAAAATACATGAATAAATCGATTGATTCTTTTACATTATTTCAATTGTTTTACAAGTTTTTGATATTCATTAACATGCTATATTTTATTTTCAGGATATTACTTACATGATTTATCTACAATTATTAATGTGCTAGCTATATAAGTAAAATATTTACTTAAATGATGGAAAACCGAACGTTTTCATTATCATAACGAAGATAAATTGTTAAGAATAGGTATTTTAAGGCCGAATACTAACAACACAATTTTGAGACGCGTTTGGCCGTGTGTGCTGAATTTGAAATTAGTTTCGCTCGGATGCGAAATTATGCCATCTCACCATTCAATTTTCCCGCTAAGCTTTATCGACAAACGA